GGCTTTTTTTTCTTTTTGCTTATGTGGTGCTGAGGAATCGAACCCAGGGCCTCAGGCATGCAAGGCAAGCGCTCTACCACTGAGCCACCTTCCCAGCCCGTCTATGAAACTCTTATCTCCAATAAACCACCAAAAAAGCCAGAAGGGAAGGCATGACTTAAGTGGTAGAGCCCAGTCTTGAGTAAAAAAGCCAAGAGTGCAAAGCCCTGAGTTCAAGCCCTAGTACCAGCACAAACATAAAATGAGTGACGTTCTGAGGTCCTGGGACTTACCTCGTGAATCGGGAGGTGGTGACAGGTGTAGTTAGCCCCCCACAGCAGCCACCGAAAGACCCTGGCTGGCCAAGAACCCCACTAGTGCCTCGTGACCCCTGTGGCTGTGTCTGCTCTGAGGGCTAGGGCGGCCGTGCTCAGGACTCTGCGTCCCCATCTGCCTACAGGATTCTGAGGCCTGGGCAGGGCATCTGTAAGATGCAAATGTGGATGGACATCAGGATCCTGACTGCAGCCCGGCTGGAGGCAGAGGCCCCTGGCCAGACTCAAATCTGTGCCTAACTCAAGGTTTCCAAAGAAGTTTCACATCTGCTTGTCTCCAAGCCTCAGTGGGCGTGAGGGGTGGGGGGAACTTGCTTCCCTCCCCCAAGCACACACACACTGCTCTAGGAGATCAGGTCCAGCTTGCCCCAGGGCAGGGCGAGGATGTGGGCCCAACCCACGTAGCAGCACTGTCCTGGATTCTGGTTGTCCTGGATTCTGGTCCCGGGCTGGGCTTGCAGGGAACCGTGACTCAGGACTCAAGACCCAGAGCTGACAGATCAGACCTGTGCAGCAGGAGGGAATGGAGGTCATGCGGATCCGCCCGGCCTAGCTCCCCTCAGTCTGCAGCGGCCGGGCCGCCAGGGCTGGCCAGGGCTGGGCCGGGCTGGCCAGGGGCATCCCAGAGCCAGTCCCTGACCAGTCTCCCCGGACCCTGCGGCCTGGCCTCTCTGGGCTACTGCCTGCTGCGAGGAGCTAGGATGGGCGGGCGGGACGGCTGGGCCCCGGCTGGCCCGGGGAGCAGGCCCGCTTGGAGGGCAGGGCTGGGCCTGTGTGACAGGGGCCGGGGGCTGAGTCCGCCAGCAGGGAAGTCGGGGGTCCCCCTGAGCAGGGGGTGCTGAGTGCGGACGATGACCTCCGGGGCCACGGAGGAGGCCGTGCAGGCCTGCCCGGCGGCAGGGGAGGGAGGAGGGGCAGGTCTGACCCGGCCCGGAGCCCCTCACAGACCCGGCCATCCGCCCACAGGGCCCGGCCTGCCGGCCGCTCCTCCAACCCGGCTCCCAGGTGGGGGCGGTTCTCTCCCCTGCGCCCTCCCAGCGCCCGGACCCCCGACCCCTGACCCCCTGCGCCCCCGACCCCTAACCCCCTGCCCGGCGCCC